GACTGAGGATCCCACAGAGCTTTGAGGGGGAGGCAGTTTAAGATTTACCAGCCCCGTTACGAGAAATCACAAGGTTGGGCTGCCTGATTATTAACGATGCTTAATCATCAGCCAATTATCACGTAGCAAAATTTACTATAATCTATAAAAAAATTACTATAATGACTATAATAATTTACTGTAATCAGTGCAGTGACTCGGTTAAGGATTCAAAAATGGCGAAGTTCACGCAAGACTTACGACAAAGAAAGGTCTTGGAAATCCTCGTGAAATCTACCCCGGGAAGCATCCCAGCTCCGGGGAACACACGGTGCCAGCGCCCTCTGCGACCCCGCAGAGCGAAAAGGGTTTCACTTCGGATTATGAGATAAATGACTTGGGTCAGTATTTTGTCATTTTGGCCACGATCCGTGTCAGTAATCCTTCCGGAGCGCGCCGCCACCTGGGCAGGAGGAGTTTCGGGTAAGGGTGGGAGCACCTCACCGTCCCGGCACGAGGAAGCACCAGGCTGTCCCAGTTCCCTGCATTTGTAACCCAAAACTCAGCTCTGGCACAGCCTCGAGCTCACCCAACACCAGCGGTGCCACCACGGGGCGTGCAGCTCCTCTTGCTGCTCCTCCACTGTGAGGAGCCCCCACCTGTGCGATTTCTGTCCATAAAGTCGAGGAGAGCAGAAATGCTCGGTTTTGGTACGAGGGGGTGGGACGGGAGGTCACTTCTCCTGGTGCTCCTAACCAGAGATGCCCCCAAACTCAGCGCTACGTACATGACAGGGATGGTCTGAAAGATCACCCAAGTCTCATGCCCTTCACCTGACTTCCCCTGGCTCAAATTTTCTTCCAGAATCCAAAGGACGGCCGGGACCTACCCCAGCTCTCACCAGAATGACCCTGGCTTTCTGTGCAGGGGCCCAAACCCCTCCTGCCACACGCGCCGGGCTCAAAACCCAACAGAAACCGGCTAAATTCTGGCGGTTTTGCCATCCCTACAACCAGACATCCAAAAGGCAGCCGGTGCCTTTCACCAGAGCGGGCGTGCAGTGGATGCCCGCTCCCCACAATTAAATAAATCATAAACTCAAGGGAATCCCTGTGAATCAATGTAAATTTTCAAAGGCAACTTTTAAAGCAAACCCGGTGTTTGAGCTTCAGGAATTGATGGTGGAAAGGGTTAGGAAATGTCACAGAGCTTCGCTGCTGATCTTCTGAAGTAAATATTTCTGCGTGCACAGAGATCTGTATCGTTTTCTCAAAAAACATCTGCCAGAAGCGACTTTTTGGCAGCCAACGGGTAAATCTGGAGCTTCAGAGGAGAAAAACATCAAGAGGAACGGCGAGCAGCTGCTGTGTCTCGACCCCAGCTCCAAACCCAGCTCCCCTTGGGGAGCCTGGCCCCAGCACAGCCCCATTGAGCCCCTAACGACTATTTAATTAATTAATACCCACCGAAGCCACGATGTTGGTGGCCTCAGGGGGTTGGGGTGGCTCATCCTTGCACCCCATCTCCAGCGAGCCCTGGTAGGGCTGTGGCCGAGTGGGTCTCCCCTGGTCCCTGCAGCCGCCTCGCGCCTGCCCACAGCTGCACACGATGCAATTAGCACTAACGAGCCAGGGCAGCGGCCCCTTGCACCCGAACCTCCACACCGGCACCTCCGGTTTTAACGGCATCTCTGAGATGCGTCCTGGACATCTTGGGAGCAGGTGTCCTAAAATAAACGGGCTTTAAAAGGTATTTTCTTTGAGATTTGCTTCAGCGTCGAGGGCTCCCGCCTTGCCCCGTCGAGTATTTCATCGCGAGTGACACCCCCGCACGGCTTCGCGCGGCCAACGCAGAACCTTCAGAACCCCACAACACTCTTAACCCTTTCACTCGTTTTCTGGTGCCACTCGAGTGCTTTGGGATGGGAGAGAGCCAGGACAAGAGGCCGATACTGCCCTCTAAGGTCTGTGCCTGCAAACAGGCTCAACAAGAGCACAAACCATTTCTTGCGACACCGGAATACAAGAATGACCCGATTTTCCCCCCACTTCCAGCAAGGTTTCCAAAGCCGGTGAAAGCCAGCAGGTGAATGTCCATGCCAGCAGCCAGAGGGAAGCCCCAGGAAGGGCTGGAGGTGGAGAGACTCGTTAAAATACCTGGGAAGTTTTACCTTTTTAACCCACAGCGCACAGTTCACCAGCGACCTCTATTGCACGCAGCATTCAAAAAAAAATCAGAGGTTTGGTTAGGTGAGAGGAGGGGGTGCTCTGCTGAGAGTCCGGAGTGGGAAAGGAGAGGAAAACTCTTGTCTGGTTTCAACAGAAAAGGAACCTGAGAGCACGGTGGCTGCAAATACCACAGATGACGTGACCTCTGCTGCTGAGCTCCACCAAAGACTAAACGTGAGAAGCAAATCACGATGTTTCTCCTGTTTCTCGCTTCTCTTCCTCCTGCAAAGGAAAAATCCACAACCTGTTTACAAATTCTGTGTGTTCCCGACGAATGCCGTGTAAGGATTCCCGCAAAAACCCCGCACATCGTAAGGGCAGGTGGAAATGTCAAGAGCTGAAGATCTACAGCCGACAAAATCAAAGTTTTAACATCTCTGAATACAAAATGTTTGTGCAGGTACAAAGCGAGGCTGGCAAAAAAAAAAAGAATTAAAAGAGAATTTGACTGGTGACTTATGAGCCCAGCATATTTAAGAGTTTTAATTGTATTGCACTTGGAAAGGAAAGCATTTTCGGCCACGGCTTTGGCAACAGGTATCAGAGGCCACGAGGTGCAGGCCAGCCTCTCTCTCTGCGGTTTCAGACGCGTCGCAGTTGTGGGCTGGCCCGTTTCTCCCGGACGGGATGAGTTCAGGCTTTGCAGGTCCCTTCACACCTGCAGAAGCTCGGCGACAGGCTCAGCAATCCTCTGGTGAGCTCTGGCTCAGGAAGACAGAAAAGCAATTCGTTAAGACCAAATATCTTCACAGTGTACGACTGCAAATCGTTAGTCTATTCATAAACTCACAGAAACCCCCTCGCCTTTCAGATCAAAATACAGCTGGGCAAGACACAGGTGACACCCAAACCTCCTTGCTGGGCTTCTACTCATCATACTTGTGAAACAAGCTCCACTTTCTCCCCCTTAAGCTCTGGCTTTTGAACCTTCCCACTATGTAACAGTGACCACTTGGGGGCAAAAGAGTTCCAGGAAGCACCCCTGCTAACAACAGGCTGGCCTAAAAAGGATCCTACCCAAGTCGTTCTTCCACTTTACCAATAGTACTGTGAATTCCAGACTCATCCGTGCTCTTCCTACCTACAAAATACTCCCTGGACGTCCCTCCGCAGAGGTTACTCACACCTCCCATGGGTGCTCAGAGCAGCACATCACACTCTGCTCCGCTTGCCTGACACCATATCCCACCATAAAGTGTTAAGAGATGCTCTGTGTTACTTATTATTTCCACCCAGCTCATTCCAGGAACCAATGGAACCTCTTTCCCAGGATTAGCGCCTGCTGTCCTACACCAGCGGTGCTTAAAGCAGAGCCCTTCTCTCTTTCTTCTTCAGTTCTCTTGACACAAACAGTAGCAGAGCATATGAAGAAGCAGCAGCTCAGATCCCGGCAGTGCAGTCGGAAAAGGTATCTGTATTTCTGTGCCCATTTGAAAGCTTGAACCACGCACAGAAGTTTCTCAAAAGCAGCATTTCTCACCTTCAAAATAACCTATTTCATCTCTGCCCTGGCTGATGAGGTGTCTCCTCTTCATCTCCTGCCCGTGGACATGCACATGCACTTTCTTCAAGCTTTAGCGCTTGACACGAGTCCAAACACCCGAGCGAAGCTGAAACACTGCAAGCTGTAATTCGAGGTCCAAGCCTTACAAGTCCTCGCACTTCAGTCCAAACTCCCAATCCTACAGGAGAAAGCAGGATTCAAGCCGTACATTCTGCGGTACTTGGTGACCTCATTGAAGAGGAATTTAAGATGGGAAAACCTGATTTATGAAGAGTGAGGTGGGCAGGATTCCCAGTGAGCGCTGCTGCTCCAAAGCTTGTTCAGAGAACTCTCGGTCCTTTGGATACACCAGCTTTCTTTGAAGAACAACAACTATTAAATTCCTGGTTTGGACACAAACTCTGGAGTAACCCCAAAGCTCCAGAGCGAGGCAAAGGAGATGAGATTCCAAGTGTCCAAGTAATAAACACTCAACAGGAGTCTCATGCCTGCTCATGTCGCATTTTAACACCTCATTAGACCTCACCAGATCAGACGAATTTGCTCTGTGGTCCCAAGAGTCCACTGGTATTACTTTTTTTGTTCTTGTTTGTTCCTCAACCGCTAGCAAACGGGCTGCTCTCAAACGCAGGCAACAAGCAAGCACCAGACCCAGCAATCCCATTCTCCCTTCACTTATTAATCCCAAATTCTGAAACAGCCCAGTGCTACACAAGCAGCTCTAGTGAAATTAAAACCAATCCCCGTGGTCTTGCACCAGAAAGCAAAAAGGAAAATCATGATTCGATACAGTGTTGGCCAGCACACTTTGCTTTGGAAAGGATTCTGGGACCCTGTTCACTTTATTTACATTCAGAGAGAAAAAAGACAAAGTCACATTCCTGAGTTGAGAATTGTTCAGCTTTCCCTGACAGAGAGGTACAACACAGCTCCTCCAAGCACAGCTGAGTAAAGAGTTGCTACAAAAAACCCCAAATTGGAGCACGTCAAGAGATGTCAAAGAGAATCTGATGCTGTTGTGTGAAGAAAAGGTTCTCACCTTCAAGTAATGCCAAAATCACAAGGACAAGTCTGCACATTCCGATAAGTTCAAGCAACTCCCCTCGCACGGAGGTTGGTGCTGAATTCCCAGCTCATCGCTTGCCCCACAACGGAGGCAGCCGGAGATTCCCGTGTGCTTAGAGATCTGATTTTAAGGTACCGACGGGCACTTGACAATTTGCTGAAGGGGAGTTTTGTCTCCACCAGGTTTATTTGCTTTCCTCCCCAAGCCCGGGGAACACTTCCCATCAGATGTTCAGAGCTGCCACAGCCTTCACCAAGGTGACGCGGCTGCCCGAGTCCGTCTGTTCCCTGCCGCCGTCCGGGCAGTTACTTTTGTTGGCCAAGACCTTCTGTCGGTGCCTTTCTTCCTGCCGCTTCTTCTTCTCCAGCCGCTGCTGTTCCCTCTTTTGTTTTTTGCACACCTGAGACAGAAGGATGAAAACACAAAGGTGAAAACACGCTTTTTCTGCTTGGTTGGGGAGAAAAAATAATACCCTGGAAAGGAGACGAGCAGATGTCCAGGCAGCTCCCAGAGAATGTTTACTCCAAACTACTCATGAGGACTTTTATCCTGTGTCATTTTGGGAAGAGTGCCACAGAGCAACGTTAAACGCTTGTGTCTGAGAAGTCACAGCTGTAGCAGCAACAAAATCCCGGTAAGTGGAAGCTCTTTGGAATTCAGTTGCTGGTTCTAAGCATTGCCCGGATTGCTAAGGAGGGCAAATCGGCTCCAGACTGCCCCTCCCGTACCTTTGGGTTCCTGCGAGCTCGATTCTCTTCCTTGGCTCTATCTTGCCCTTTGCTGTTTTCTAGTTCGTCCCGACGCAACCTCTGATTTCCCGAGATTGTTGAACCGCCTCCGGTTTCTTCCTGCGGAGTCGCGCCACCCGACTGCTGATCTTCACTCTGGGGATCCTGCTGCTCCTCAGTGCCTACCAACGACAGAGGTTTCCTCAGACATATCCTATCCAGAAGCTGCCTCATCGCCAGCCAATCCCTTCTTCCAGAATTTCTGGAAAAAAAGGGGTTTTTTTTGAAAACTAGATTAAAAATCTGCCCTCACTAGTCACCTGCCTGAGCGCAGAAAGGCTGAGGCAGCAGCAGCTGCCGCTCTCTCCATCGAACCACGGGTTGCAGTGAACATTCACGCCAGGCAGCATTCTTCTGAAGCACCAGGCACAAACTTTGCGGACTCACCGATTCTTTCCACTTCATTCGCTTGCAAGATGGCAAATATTGCAGATTCCACACTGTAGTCCTCCACTTCCAGGACTCGGCTCACGAACTCCGTGTCCTGTCCACAAGAGGAGAAAGGTAACGCTGCGGAGAGCTCAAATCCCTGACACGCATTCACTTCACAACCTCCCCTGCCACTGAGCGGGGGCTGCCGGCTGCTTTTATCCCCTTTCAATTTCATTTCTGAATAAAGGTGAGGGAGAAAAACAAAATAAAATGAATCTTAAAATCCTGACGATACCAGGAAAAAGGAATGGGCTGTTTCAGCGCCGCTGTTTCGCTCTCGACCCCGCGCCACACATCCGCACAGCACGAGCAGCAACGCAAGAACCCCCCAGGGCTGTCCCATGACAAGAGCCAGGATTCACCGGTTATCTGGTTGTTTGGGATGTTCAGCTCCACACGCTCTCAAAGGCTTTCAAATCTTACAGAAACGGTTCCAAAGCATGTTTCCCGAGAGACAAACCTTCCAAAATTATGACACATCCACGCAGAGTCCCTATTTCACACGCATTTAAGGGATGAAATGCATCCACAGCTGTGGCTGTGGTACTGAAATTGTCCAATGTATTTTTTAGAATTTTTTCCCAAGGTGCTTCCATGCACCAAGGTTTGACAATTACTTGATAATTAAGCACAAAAAGGTTACTCGACACTGACCGAACATCCCGTGGCGCTGCACACTTTTTGTACAGCGTCTTCTACGTCAGCTTCGATCTCGTCTTCAGAGTCACCCTTCCCAGGCTTCGCTTCTTCCCCCTTGTTGGAATCGTTTTTGCAAAGCATCTGCAAGAAAAGCAAAGTCCGGCAGATTGCATCACATCCAGTAAAAAAAAAAAATATAATCTAACATGCTAACAAATTATTATGGTACAGAAAGACATAGGGACCAAACTCTTTCCTTCATCTCACTGCAAATGGGAAAGGCGATCAACCGGTCACAGGGATCTGTTTTGTCACCCAGAGCTGGCTCAGTCATTCTGTCACACCAACCTCCATCTGAAGATTCGCCGGAGCTTCGGAATCGTCGTCGATTCTCCTCACGCTGTCGTAGTGCTCCCCGTAGCGATAAGCGATATGGAGTTCCCTCGCCTTTTTTTTGTCCGTGCCCCGAATCTAAATGAAATAAAGAAATTGTAAATGAGGATTTGGAATTGACTTCAGCATCGTATTTTTCAAAGCTGTTTGGGGTTTTGTTTTTTTTTAATGAAGCGATGATGAACACCCTGATCGGAAACAAAGCACTGAAGCCTCTTAAACAGGAAGAGTTGACCTAATAATCCAGATGCATCCTACAGCAACAACAGAGCTCCTGTGTTTGAAAACCAGACACACATCAAAACAAACAGAACACGGTACGAAAAAATTTCAGTGGAAAGCTCCGAACTATTTTCTAACCTTTCCCCAGGAGCTACTGGTTTTCTGATCACCTGCCAAGGCCTAATCTCAGGGACAGCGCTCGCCCAGCACACATTGCTGGAAATAAAAGAACCGATTCCAAACTACGACCTCAGCAACGCAGAGAAGTTTTGTTCTGCAGCTGGAACAAGATGCTGCTTCGGCATTCAGAGCGGCTCGGTTTTGTTTTTAAAAGAAAGCCTAAGAGAACTAAAGCCAAACTGTGAAAACATGCTAGCTCCACTCAGAAGCGCTGGGAACAACCCGACATGCCTTTGCTTTGTCAGCACGAGCACAGCGCTTCCCCCAGAACGTTCCCTGCACGGAGCGTTATCTCTACTGACGCAAGAATAACTCCTAAACCCCACCACCGCTGTCTCAAACCGTTGGCTAAGGAGCCACCGGGCATTCCAAGTCTTGCAGGAACGCAGAAAGTTCCGTTGCGTTTGCAGATCTCCTTTGCTCACCTGGTCAAGGCAGAGTTCAAAGATGTGACAGCAATCCCAGAGAAGATGTCAGCAAGCCAAGGAGCAGAGAGGCTCGCTCTAGGGCTCCAGAGTTTCCCAATCCTTTTACGTCTTTGAATCAGCTTATCCCGATTTACAGAACATGCACCCGCTCACCTTTCATCCTCAGCTGCGGGGTGTACTGCACTAAGGCCCTCAGATTTCACAACAGATGTTCTCCATTCATTTATTCACCTGTTTGACACCTGCTCACCTTTCGGTTCCAGCTCAGCACTCGCCTGCACTTAACTCCTGCCTCTTATCCTGGGAAGTTACTCAACATCATGCAAGTCGGTAAGATTTATTTTCAACATTCCTCCTCTGCCAGAGCCTAACTTAGTATCTGACGCATCCCAAAGCTCCTGAAAGATTATTCTGAAAATTTATCTCTCGGTAGCGAAGCCTCTTTTTGCCCGTAATACATTGTGTAAGTTAAAGATAGGTGCAGATTTAAAAAAAAGGCAAAAACACTGAAAAAAAGTAAGTAGTTATCCAAGAAGCCAAGAAAATAACCCATAAATCTGAGCTAACTTGAAGCTTTGCACTTACAATCACCATCCTAAATGGCAGAGGAGGTTTAAAGCCCTAAAAAGCCCACGTGGAGGTGCCCAGCTCCAACGAGCTTTCGACTACGCCAGAGCTCGAGCAACAGTCAGAGGTCCTGACCACTTCTGTTCACATTTTTCTGACTTAGCTGTAGGGGATGCAAATGGTTCTCTTGAAATGAGAGGATAAGTCCCCATCTGCTTCAGAGTCGGGACCAAAGGAGATATTCAGGCCACCTGCTTTGAGCTGATGCGCCTCTCTGGAAATGCACTCTCTGGGATCCAAACTTTCTAAAATTCTGTCGGGGCTGCAAAGCAGAGAGAGGGAAAGAAAAAGTATGTGAAAGTATAGGAAATCAAGGGGAAAAAAAGTGTCCTGTGCAAGTCTAGCAACTCGCTGACATTGTCAGCACTTTGTGAAGTCGTGATGGATCCTCTGTGGGGCAGGAGGCTCCTTGTGTCACAGCCGTTACACCGGTCTCAAGAGCCTGAGACAACCTTTCGCTAACAAGACCACACTCACGCAGAACAGAACCACGTCACAAACCCTGTGTTTACAACCCTAGAAAGGTCAAAGAGTTTAAGGTTTTCAAGTGGATACACAAAATATTGGTAAAAGTACACTGAGGGGAGTATCTAGATCGAAACAGTAACAACGCCTGAACCCCTCCTGCAGGGCCAGCACCTCCGCACGCTCTCACGGCTCAGGCAGGCGAGTGCTCCAGCGAGCTCTCCCACCGCCCGTGGCTGCTTTATAAAGGACAGTTTAGACTTGTCTGGGTTCAGGAACCCACCTGACACCGTTTCAGATGTATTTAAGACACCACCGATAGCTTCCATCTGCTCTTTTACCTGTAGTGCCCTGTTTAATCTACACGTGTATCCACACACCCCGGTTCTCTCTGTGAGCTGGGGCCAGGAGCAATCCCAGCATGAATACAGGTCATCGACCGCCCAACGACCGCTCAACGCAGAGATCCAACGTGGACCTGTTCCAGTGTGGACTTGCCATGGAAAAAGAACAAAAAAAAGAGAGGGGGAGAGACCTGATGGATTGCGTGTTCCAGCGCCCCGCTGGCAGAGGAAACCAGCCACACAGTCCCTCAGACAACGCAGCCCTTCCCAGCAGCTGATTAAACGCTGCCATAAGGTTTTAAAACTTCTTCCCTTTTCTGCCCAGTCAAGAACCTCGTTTGTTCAACTGTCAGAAACCTTCTTGTTCCAACAGAGTTGATGGAGCTTCGTTCCAATCCAGCACTGACCCGCTGCACCTTCCCTTCCACACTCCTGAGCCCTATCGGATGGGTTTCCTTAAGCCTGGCTCAAGTTCCTGTCAGAAAAGTCACCTCATGTGGAGCCTGATCTTCGGGAGAGAGAAACACACCCACAAAGTCAGGAGCTTAAAACCAAACTAACCCACGTTGCTCTGTCTCCACACACTTATCTTTCACGCACTCCTTGTTTTCTTTCACTCCTCCCAGCTGAGATCTGGGCTGTTGTCCTTCGAGGCCGAAAAGGCAATACAGCTCTCTGCCGTGGTCAGCTGCCCACAGCCACTGACGGCTCTCTGATAGCTCAGGAGGCTTCAGCTCTATTTGTATTCATCAGCTAAAAATTAGGCCAAAATATACAAGTTTTGTTTCTCACCTGCCACAGCGGAGCGTTAAGCTGATGAATGACCACATTCACTTGATTGTTCCTCGCAAAGGCCACAATAGCGTCGTTGCCAGCAAAGGTACCGGGTTTCGCCAAATTCGTAACTAAAGAAAAAAACATTCAGAAGAGTTGGAAACCTGGTTTCTGACACTTCCAAAAGCACCACAGGGAGAGCAAGTAATGAAATTTCAACACAAGCCCAAGAAATTCTGGAAAGGAAATCCCAACCGTGGAACGGTGAATGCCAAGACAAGAATTTGGCAGCAATAGAAGTTAACGAGTCTTAAACGACCACAGAACCCTCTAAAAAATCACAGCGCACGTTTAGACTGTGCACAGCTGTCAGCTCTGTGTCAGCTGGGAAGGCAAAGTGCCACGTGCTAAATGACCAAACTGCCTTCATGCATCACCTGCGCAGCACTCGGCACATCCTCCAGGCTGTGAGAACAAAGGCTGGCTCAGTCTCCGCTCTGGATCCTCCCCGGGTCACCGCTATGTGATATTGTGTCAAGGAGAAAAAGCAACCCAAAGAAATCAGCCACCAGCACTCAAAGGGAGCTGGGCAACTTTTTACCTTCTGAAAACACCAAATTTTTATTCCTTGCCTTTTTTTGCCTCCCTTTCCTTCTCCAAGTTTCTCCTAAACTTAAACATTTTCCAAGACAAATGTAACCCAAGTTTAACAGCTCATCTTTCTACAGTAACCTAACAAGAGAAACGTACTGTTTCTAAAACCTAGAGGAGCCCTAACACAGTTGTGGGGTGAGGAGCTGTTTAGCAAGAAGGTGCTTAGATGAGATGAAGTCACAAAACGGAGTAACTCTCCCTTGGCGTCCTGTGGGGACCGTACCGTGTTTCTCAAAGGGCACGTCATCCTCCACAAATGGCTCAAAGTCCTCCCGCTGCTTCAGCATGAAATCTACTGTGTCCTGGCGGTGTCTGAGGTGGTTCCGCGAGTGCCCCTCGAGCTGGTCACCCAGGGCGCGGAACAGACAGTTGCTGCCAGAAGAGAAACGGCAAGTGAGCGCCTCTGAGATGTGTCCAGTGGGTACAGCGTTAAACCAACAGTCCTGGTGCGGCTGCAGAAATACTGTGTTAAACAGCTCTGCTCTTTCTGCCCAGTGAGGTCAACAAAGGTGTGGATGTGAAGCAGCACCTGTGCCCTCTGCTCTGAATGGCTGCCGTGAGAAAAGAACTGCACTAAAAGCACCAGGGTTTGAGGAAACACGTCACGAGCTCCAACAGCGTGAGTTAGGGGTAGTGTGAGCACTGGGCCAAACTGTCTTTAACAGCGGGGCAAATGCCAAAATGCAACACAGGACAACCTGATCACAGAATCACAGAATGTTGGGGGTT